CAGCTTGAAACTATGGATATCAGATAGAATACTAATCAATATCCACTAAATTCAAAATTCATTGATATTGATAAAAGGTGGCGTAGTGAAACAGTTGACATTTTATATCATGAATACTGAATATAGAGGGTTCAATCGTGGAGCTGTAAGGATCTGAGCTAACAATTTGAAATTTGAAACACACTTGCCTTTTTACTCGGCTGAATTAAATGTGACAAACAATTTTACTGATAAGCAAAGATGGATAGTGGCTAGCAGTGGAATCCAAGACGCGCGTTTCGTCCTATTTGGGACGCGTCAGCTGGATGTACCTGCATCTCAGAGTTGACGTTCACTCTGGGACTCGAACCCAGTACCCTCGCTTCAAACGCCATCGCGTTATCCACTAGGCCACTGAGTCCTGATAGCCATTTGATTGTGCAATGGGGTGAAGTTTAAATTCACTTAGTATTGTTTGTTTGAATCTTCCCATTGATGTTTAAGACTGTAACTGAATTCCACTGCTAGCCACTATCCATCTTTGCTTATCATGCTTGTGAATTAAGGCTATATTGAGGCAATACGCACAGTATGCACATATGCCAATTAGAAAATGACCAGTTGCAGTCCTAACACATCGATGGGAAGATTCAAACAAACAATACTAAGTGAATTTAATTTTACTGATAATTATTATTTTCGATAACCTTTGCTTGTTTATTTCCCTCTCTCCCCTTCTTCAAATAAACGCTTCATTGTCTAATTATTGTTAATGTGTGTTAATTCATTGTTTATTTTTCTAAGTTGTTGACCTATTCTCTATTATGAGACATTGACTCAAGCTTTTGTTATTCTTATTACAACTAGTACACCCGTCGTCATACCACTAATTTGTACATTTTACATATTAAGTTTATTTATAATCTATTCCATTGTTATCACTGACTCATAAACTGTATTGAATGGTTTAATATTGTCATATGTGCATATAAATATTATCGGAAGGGGTTTTGTGGAGATTTCGAGATGGTGGAGTATTTTCATAGTTGAAAGCGTGAGTCAATTGAAGCTAAACCACCATGGCTCACTGGTCTATCGGTTAAGTATTATGGTCCGAGACTGGTAGGTCCTGGGTTCGAATCTCGCGAGGCGGAATCGTGGATGCACACTGCTGAGGAGTCCCATAATAGGACGAAACGGCCTCCAGTGCTTCCATATAAATATTATCATTGTATATTAGAACAAAACCTGATGAGGATCTAATTGAAAACGATAGTATTCTCATATATATATATATATATATATATATATATATATATATATATATATATGCCTAAATTGAAACATACAGTTAATGAGTCCTAAATAGAACAAAACGAGCAACCTAGATTCCATAGGTAGCCATAATCTATCTCTTCTATATCAAAGCAATCCATACCAGATGCCAATATATGCGAAATAATACTGACCGAAATTCAGTCAAGAACATCAATGATGAGATAATTCAAACACAAGTTAAATACAAAACAAACTTACCCATAGTAGCTTTGTAACCAACAACAGGAAAAGATAATCCATCTTTGGTAGATTGGAAAATATTACTTTGACTACTAGTGAATCGAATTTCTCCACGATAAAAATATGGACAAATAGACTGTCCAGCACATCCAGGACATTTTTTCACCTCCAACATATCAATGTCCAAACTCATATTCCCAAAAGAAAATGAACGGAAAAAGAAATAATAAATACTAATCAATAGTAATGTTGAGAAAATAACTACAATAATGGATAGTAAACTCCATTGAAGTTTTGACTGCCTATTGACAGTATTGTGTTTCAACAATGGATTATCACCATTTGTATTTCGACTATCAACACCAGAACCCTATAATTCCGTTAAAAAAAAAGAACAAATAAGCGTGCAGATATTGTTACTAATTTGATAAATTAATCAGAGGTAACCATGTAAAAAAGAGCGAAATACAAACTTTAGTTATATACATAGATTTAAGCATATGAAATATTACATAACTGACCTTGGGTAAAAACGGGACACGATGGCTTAATTCCATATTGTGAAACACTAAAATAAAACAAAGACTATTAGGTGTGGACAACATTGTACATGAAGGAAAGAACAAAAAAGTTCATTGTATAATTTAGTTATAATGAGTATTAAGTTGGATACAGAATTCTACGAATATGGTTAACAAAATTAGATAGTATACTAATAAGTATTTCTAAACGAAAGAATATAGTTCCTGTGTTAATCAATTTCAAGGAGTACAATAGTACTGAACCACAAGATTACTAGATTCTACTACCAAGAAACTAAAAATCGACTGTTCTAATAACAAGTGAGTAAACACTCAGACATTATCTTCATGCTACTACTTAATAGTTCTCTATTGAAGGCAAAAAAAATATGTCTAAACCTAACCACATAATATAGCATGGAAGGCAGTATTCATGTCTAAAGCACACCATCGGGGAAAATAACATTTAGTAATTGAACAATACCGATGAGAATCTGAAACTTCAAGAGAAGGGTTGACTGTGTGAATTGTATCAAACAGAATGAGATTAAATGTGTCGGTACAGTTGTGGGGTTGGTTTATCTGTTGCCGAGAAATAGAGACAGACATGAGAAAAATGAACAAGAACTGGATAGAACTAGAAAAGAAGGCTCAGGACAGAGTGGGTTGGAGAAAGCTGGTCGGCGGCCTATGTTCCATTGGGAGTAACAGGCGCAAGTAAGTAAGTAAGTATGTGTGTGTTGTGATGAGGTTGTTAGACTCTGAAGTTTCAGCAGTTAATGTCGTGCCGATAGTGATATGCAAAGGCTTCCACCACGTTGTGTCAGGAGGTTGTACTCCCATGGTCTAGCGCGGCCAGTTAACTCGAAACTGGTAGGAATTACATGAATCAAACTATCCGATTAAAACACAGGACTGCAGTGTCCACTCAATGTGATCTCCACCCAGAGCTCTGTAGAAATTTGATTAGATGAGGGTAAACAGCGAGAATAACTAAAACCACATATCGTTTATACAACTCAAGGTTCTGATATGACACCAGGCAAAAAAAACTATTTTCAATTTTTCAGTATAACAGAAGGACAAGATTTACCATAACAATTTTCAATACAATTAAGTGACTATCACATTCCAAAAAGAATATATGGTATCCAATGGCTCATTGTCAGTTCGAGCTTTGTAAAATTCAACCCTCTCAGCGAAATTTGTATTAAACTACATAGCGATGCTTCAGTACAATATACCTAACGATGATTACATTTTTATTATCAGAAGGGGTTTTGTGGGGATTTAGTATTTTTCACAGTTGAAAGCGTGAGTCAATTGATTACATATTTCCTTTATGTCGAGGTATTATTAATGCTATAGAAAACGATATACGTATGGTCCAGCTAAGATGTGGGAAGTATTCGGAAGGTTGATCACTAGCCTAGTTTGCAACACAATAACCATATTTTTCTTCAGATGGGGTACCAATAAAACCAAGGAAAACTGGATAGTTGTTTCGTCCTAATAAGTAACTCCTCATCAGCATGCACGTTCGGCCGCACAACGTATAGGACTCAAAGCCATCAGGTTCTCTAGCGTATGCGATACTTTTGGACCATTGACTTAGAACTCAATGGCATACATCTCCTACCTCAGTCAATTCATGACGAACACTTGACTATTAGGACCACAATTCCGATTAATCTGCGTTATAGCTCGACGGTCATACGACGTCACTGATAACAGTCCTTCCACTCTTGATTGACTTGGACTCCAACCACTTATCACCAGGACTTCTGGAATATCTCGAAGGTGTTTTGTGGAGACCGACCTCATTTGTAGGTGGTATTCGTCAGGCATTGGTCTAAGTACTTCCTAGTTTTCGATAGTACTTCAAATGAGATCAATCTTCGATAAATACAACCTATGAATTAAACCAATCTCCACAAAACCTCTTTAACTTTGACATTTTTCTATTTTCAAGGTGACAGTTAGGCGTATCCGCTAGCGACTAACATTAATGTAAGAATAGGGTCATTTAAGAAACTAGTAAAAGAAGTAAAAATACGATCAGATCTGTGCATATTATAAAAGTTCTTATTGATAACAATTTGTTTAGTTTTTAATAGTAAAAGCGATTCACTTGAAACTTTAGGTCACAAACATGTCACGAATTAGAACTAAATAAGATATATGCGGACAATTTTATTTTCGACGAGATTCCGAATACTTTACAGATGCAGATGCATTCTGTACAGAATGATCTTAACTACACTATTAAAAAAGACAGTAATATTAGTTATCGATTAAGTTCGATGTTACATCTAGTGAATTCAATACAACATTTATAATGTCAACATAATGCCAAACACGTAAAATTGTATTTGAGTATAGTCATTACCGTCCCACCCCCATCGCTCTGGTACGGCCGAGAGTGGGGAGGGTCCGCTCTCCATCTCGAAATGCCCTGACAAGACCACGCGTATACAGCCTCTGACAGGGAAGTACTACTCACTGCCCTCTCACACCAGGGGGTGTTGTTTAAGAAACTGAGACGACGAAAAGCGAATGTCTGGCACTTTAACCGGGTTAGTGGACACGTTGAGTCCACCTAGGAGAGTTGGAAAACCCTCATTCCAAACCAATGATGCACATGGGCTGGATCCAGTATCCTGAGGGAACAAATGGCGTATGAATCAATCGTTGGTCACCGGCTACCATGGAACTGCATCTCCTTACGATGCTCCACTGCCTTGTGGATCAGACCTTTAGGTCAAAGGCTCGGGGTGTGGCCCCCTAAAGAAGCCACTTGCTTCGGTTTGGGCACCTGGGCAGTATTATAGCCCTCACACAATTGAATGAAATGACAATTTTTCGTGTGGCGCATATATATCTGGTGTCCCCTTGTATCAATATTGATGTGTTTAAATAAATAAATAACACTACCATTCGATCAGATACAACAATAAAAAATACAACAACACTTCATCTCTTCGAAACTAAACAATCATATTTAGAAGAAAAAAATCTGTACATATATAATATGAGTTTATTAAAAACAATAATATACCATAATTAGTAGTATTAGTAGTAGTAATAATAATAATTATGGTGGTGAGTTCTTTTATTTTAAAAAGTAAAGTACAACATTATAGTGTAGTTGTAAAGTTGCTGTGCTTTTTTTTCTCGATTAATGACTCAACAAATCTTCACATTATAGGCTCCTATGCTCATACATAAACATGTACACATACACTCACAATAATATAAACAAGGATGATAGTAGTAATAATAATACGGAGAATAACGATAATAGTAATGGTAATGGTAATATTTCTTTTACGCAAATAAGGAAGGATGGATAATGTGATAACGAATAGTGTTACTTATATTGAGAATAAATAAAACATACAAATAAAAAAAGCGTAGAGAAATGCATCGTTTGTCTATGTTATTTCAATGGGAAAGGGAAAAACAAAATTTACAATAGTTAGCAAATAGTTATATATATATCCAAATGGGTATGGAAGAATGAGGTTAACAAAGAGGAATATAAAAATTTCAAAATCGAAGGGTAAAACAAAATGTATGGATGTAGATCAACGATGAGAAAATACAGCTGCCGGTAGTAATATTAAAGAATAAGTGATTTGTGTGAATGAACACCATGATCATGGTTATGTATGTGTGTCTGTGTGTGGGTGATTCAATACTATTTAACAAAAACATTTGCGTACATTCACAGTTAACATCTTTGACGACCAATAATAAATCAAGAATGAGCCAAGAACTAGAGAGAAAAAAATAGATAACAAATAGTAGAAAGCATACTGTAAAATCAAACTGTAGAATAATAGAAACTTTACAGTTTTATCAATTCATTTCGTTAAAATAATATGGTGTGATCCTTAAATGCGAAAGAATAATGTTAAATTATTTTAATGTAACCTATGAGCCCTAAAAGAATATTCATGGTAAACTACAATTGTATTGTTGAATTCAAGCGTCAATTGAAGCTAGATGAGCACTGCTGAGGAGTCCTACAATGAAACGAAACGGCTGTCCAGTGCTTCCAGGTTTTCCATGGTGGTCTAGCTTTAATTGACACATGAATTCAACTATAAAATTACTAAAATCTCCACAAAACCACTTCTGATTACAATTTTACTATCGTTATTAGAAAGTGTTTGAATTATATTGTTGTTAATGCTAGAGACTAAATTTTGATCAATCTTTATTTTATTATTTTATTTAAACACATAAATATTGGTACAAGGAAGCACCAGATAAATATGCGCCTCACAAATCTCATTCGATTTGTGTGAGGGCTATAATACTGCCCAGGTGCCCAAACTCAAGCAAGTGGTTTCCTTAGGGGGCCACATCCGGAGCCTTTGACCTAAAGGTCTGATCCACAAGGCAGTGGAGCATCGTAAGGAGATGCAGTCCCATGGTAGCCGGTGACCAACGATTGATTCATACGCCATTTGTTCCCTCAGGATACTGGATCCAGCCCATGTGCATCATTGGTTTGGAATGAGGGTTTTCCAACTCTCCTAGGTGGACTTTCCGTGACCACTAACCCGGTTAAAGCGCCAGACATTCGCTTTTCGTCGTCTCAGTTTCTTAAACAACACTCCTGGTGTGATAAGGCAATGAGTAGGACTTCCCTGGCAGAGGCTATATATTCGCGTGGCCATATGAGAGCATTTCAAGAGGGAGAGCAGACTCTCCCCACTCTCGGCCGTACCAGGGCATTTGGGGGCATATTTGTTTGATATATGTATATCCTGAGAGAATTATAGATATATGTGTATTTTATCATAAGTTTTTAGAAAAGGTGATTCATAGTTCACATTGGGAAAAGAGAGGGCATTCCGAGGTAAGTCAATTCTCTAAACATTAGAATTTCCCATAGCTTTCTTCTCACCGTCTGAATATTCAACTATCTAATTAATAGGTAGTGAGTATAAATCCAACTTATTTAAGTTTAGTTAATCATTTTACTATAAATATCAAATGATAGTGGTTAATATAACTTTTACGTTTTTTTTATGATTATATACTTATCTAAAAATCACTATTTAATACAATGAGCTTAGAAATTTTTGTTAATCCTTTGGTGATAGTACCCACCCTACTAGGTCATATGATTACTATTTTTAACGGTCAGAATATGCCGAAATTCAGCGTAGCAACTATGCTAAACTATGTGGAAGCAGTAAAAATGAAACTAAACAGAATATTGTTTACGGTAAAGTCTTTAGTAGACTATAGTGATAACGTATCACTACCATAAGATATTACAAATGAACCATTAATGTTAATGAATATAAAATGTACTAAAGTGTTGAAGATGACCTAAATAAAGGAGAAACAAGTTTGAATAATTATAGTAATCCTCGTAACTTTAAGTTAAGTTAGAATGTACAAAGAATATTGGATTTCTCAATGTAGCTTGGTGAGCACGTTTTTTGAAGTAATCTATGAAATACAAAACGTGAATCCAAGGTCTTCAATCAGATAGTTCCGGTCATTTGAGATTACTATGGAACCTGACACATCACATACTTTAGTTGATAGGCTTTATAGAGTTATTTACAAGATGAAAGTTACCATGATAGTACAAAGTGCACTGATAAATATCGTCGACATTACTGTTCTAAATAACTAGATGTAAATTGTATTTCTGTGTGCAGCTATCACCCATAACGATCTCCTATGTCATTCTAATGTTATCTGTAAACAATTGATCCTATGAGCATACACTTTACAACAGAAGGTATCCATATACAGAAATGAGATAGAATAGACAGATGAACAATTGTTACAAATGACGTTTTGCATATGTTATGTCGTTATTTTGAAAAGAATAGAATGATAATAACTTAGTATGAAACCCGTTAACATGTTATTTGTATTAACTTACCTCTTTAACAGTGGAATTAATGAAATCTTTACGATCAGACAAGTCAATATTAGGATAGTTGGCGAAAATCTAAAATGTATGAAATAACAAACAACCATATGATTGATTTTACAAGATGGATTCCCGAAAAAAAAAAATTTAAGACTCAAAATATCAATTACATTACTAAATTCATATAAAAAAGTTGAAATAATCATGTCAGTCAGTCAGTCAGTCACAACGTAGAACTTTGTACGTACGTACATCAGTTCGAGTTGCTACACCACATTAGCACAGAAATGCAGTTGTCCATTCAAATCCCATAGTGGTAGAAGTAGTAAGAGTATAAGCATTATGTGAAAGATTAGGGTTTGAAGATGTTATTCAAGGAGTATAATACATTGAAATAAACTTGGAAAGAGAAAAAGCATAGAGACATGAAGAATTCAGAAGATTAGAATTTGACAGAACACAAAGAGTGGATGCACCTTTGCCATTGTAAACAATTTTGAGCCATGTCATTCAAGGTCTCTAACCATCGATTGCTATCATCTCGCGAATCCCAACCAGGTAGTCTACACCTACCAGCATGGCTCAGTCCATTTGTCAGTGACTTTATGGATTTGTGCCATATTTTGGTCTGGCCACCCCTGAAATAATCATGACATGAAGTATGCATAAACTTATGTACAATAAAACAAAAAAGCATAGAACATTGCACAGAATGCATCAGTTCGAGCTTTTATATTTTGTGACAGCACTGGAAACGAAATTCAAGAAAAAGAAGTGCTAATAGGATACAGTTCAGACAATTTGACGTTCGGATTAGGTTTAACAGTACAGTGATTGGCTTATTTTCAACCAATCGGAGATGGTAATGGTTTGGGAACATATTGGAAGTATTTTCAATGAATTTTATACCACCTCTTATGTTTTCATGACTGTATCTTCCGTTATTCAAGTTTATTGGAACGTACATGCAAGAACTATTTACACTTGTACAATGATATATTATCATATATATACAAATAACATTCTATTAAAAATCCATTTCAATAAATGTTTACCGGTATTTAATAGATTCTGGGACACGAACACAATAATCAACGTCCTATATTAACATTTACAATACTCAGTAGTAAAATTTAATTATCAGGAGGATCGACAATAAACCATAACTCGTCTGTTACAAAAAAAGCCGTCTTATTTTATGAGGAATGAGATTATTCCAATTAAGTTTGCTAAACACTTGATTTAAGCATTTAAAAACAATCATACTTAAAGACAAAAAACATCATAGAAATGCAAACTCTCACTTTGTACAGCTCATATTATTTTCAAGTCAGATTACACTATATAAAATAGTTGCATACATCAACCATTTTTCTTAGAATTGAATCCTGATATTGATACTTTCGCTCTCAAATGCCCTGGTACGGCCGAGAGTGGGGAGGGTCCCCCCTCTCTCGAAATGCTCTCACAAGGCCACGCGTATACAAGCTCTGACAGGAAAGTCCTACTCATTGCCTTATCACACCAGGAGTGTTGTTTAAGAAACTGAGAAGACGAAAAGCGAATGTCTGGCACTTTAACCGGGTTAGTGGTCACGGAAAGTCCACCTAGGAGAGTTGGAAAACCCTCATTCCAAACCAATGATGCACATGGGCTGGATCCAGTATCCTGAGGGAACAAATGGCGTATGAATCAATCGTTGGTCACCGGCTACCATGGAACTGCATCTCCTTACGATGCTCCACTGCCTTGTGGATCAGACCTTTAGGTCAAAGGCTCCGGATGTGGCCCCCTAAGGAAACCACTTGCTTCAGTTTGGGCACCTGGGCAGTATTATAGCCCTCACACAATTGAATGAGATAACAATTTTTCGTGTGGCGCATATATATCTGGTGTCCCCTTGTACTAATATTTGTGTTCAAATAAATAAACAAATAATGTTGGCCGTCAAAAATTTTTCTACGACTGTTAAATCTTGTTTCGAATTTATCCAGTTTGACTAATTACTACTGTGTTCCAAAATTATCCCATAGGCTTAAAATAAGTATTTACACTAGTGGCCTTAAAATCCACTCCCTACAATGTCTTTTACTGTTATGTTTTGGCAAAACATTAAAAAAACAACTTGTAAAATATCATTGTCTTTTGTAGAAGCAGAAAAAACTACTTTTTCCACCTAATTAATAGCTACTTGAATAGTGCTCCGGAGAAGGCAAACGAATATTGATAAACTAGTGAACATTGACCATAAAGTAGTTGACATCCACCAGTCTGTTTTAAATTTACATTTTGTCTTACAACACATTCATTTTGGTAACCTCATTAACGCTCAGGATGATATAAAGTGATATATTGTTTATTTGACTCGATTATCCATGGGAAACCTTGATAAAACAGACAGAAAATTAAAGATGCCCAAAACTAAACAGGTTAGTATAAAGTAACTAAAATAAACCAAAAATAAAGTTTGAAACTGTAAGCTGATAGCTAACAAAAAAAGTAAGAGTCTAATCCCAAAGCATATCGTGATCCAACAAAATATCAATAGATTGTTACATAAGGAGAAAAAAATCCATTTTAATAACACACTATACTTTGATTACCTTTTCTCGAACAACTTTAAGAGATGTCTCTTCTAAATTAACTGTTTTAAGTAAATCAATTATATTTTTCTTTAATTCAGAATCAGTTGGAGGAATAGTTACTTTTGTGGATGTTAAACTAGACAGAGGAACATTTTCTTCATCAGAATCAAGTTCTTTTTTCATTTTAGTCGGAACATGTTTATGATCATTTTCATCTTCTGTATCACTAAGCTCATGCTTTTTAGCTCGTTTAACACTAGGTTTACCAGGTTTTTGCTTTTGTTGTTGACTTAAAGCACGTTTCTTTGGTGGCCGCTTTTTTTCGATTGATTCAGCTACACTTGATAGATCACTTTCTGAGTTCTCAGATTCAGATGACATATCATCCGGTTCATCAATATCCTGTTGACTTGAATTATCTATGCTAGGTTCATTTGAGACAGTGTTCTTTTTCGATGGTTTTGATTTCAATTTTTTAGAGGTGCCATCTTTAGACTTATTTTTTTTATATTTTTTAACGATCTTTCCTTTACATTTCACAGAATTAGCTGTCGGTTTGAGTAGGAATTCCAATAAGCGAGAGGCCAACTGTTCTCGAGTACCTGTAACTTCTAGGTTTAAGATGCGGAGAACTTCTCGTAAATCACAAGCAGGGCGTCTGTCAAAAAACACAGTAAAAAGATAAAATAAGCTTTTCTTCCCAAACAGATAAACCAATATAAACATGTTTACAATCATTAAGCTTCTCATATATATATATACATTATTTTTATGGATGCTTAGAAACCTAACCAGAACTTTAACGAAAATGAATGTACTTAAAGTTTAAAGTTACAAGACATACATCGCTTTCCAGATAATTTTGTATTGTTATGTGGGTGGAAACCAGTGCCATGTTATCTCGTTTTCGATGGTGATCTTGATATATCAATCAGGTGATTTGATTTCGTAGTGAACATTGTTTGGTGTCTCACAGAAAATTAGCTACTTCTGGAATAGCCTGATAGCAACATTTCTAGTTGTGATATCCAGTGGTAAGAATTCGAGCTCTTGTAATGTTAACGGATGTCCAAAAGTCTCAACAATCTTTATTTATGTGTGTAAATAAGCTCACTGAACTGTAGGTAGGTTACTATATAACTACGGCATGAAGTTATTAAACTCAACAAATTTTATCAGGATATTTTGAATACAGCTAGAGAAAGTGACACGGGAATGCATCTTATGATTGTTCGATTCCAAATGTAGATTTTTTAACGATATATTACGAAAAATTACATAGTCATGCAACAAATTTCTTTTGGGTAAATATTTGAATTACTATTAGTCTGCTTAATAAGTGATTTTCGATTTTGAAAGCCAATTGACAGAAAATATAATAAAATAGGATCCAGGGCAAAAACAGATAAAAATATGAAGATACAATTGATTCTGATCGACAGGAGCTTATTTCCAGTTACCAATATCAACGGTTGCTTAGATATTAACACGGTAGCTAAATTTTCGTACGGTTGGTTAAGAAAACCGGAAATTTCAAAAAAAACAGTGAAATATTTTCCCTATTTATCCAGATAAATTACTCTACTACTTCTAGTGCTACTAATACCTTGGCAGTGAGACGACAGACAAAACTCACATAGAGCTGAAATCAGTGAATAGTTAGCTTACTGTTGAATATATGTTGATTTTTTTTCGTACTGTTCAGAACCCATTTCGAAACCAAAACCTCGAAATTTGCGTAGACTACTACGTATTTTGCTTGCAGAGCCAGGTCTACCATATATTATTAAATGAAGCGATTTGAGGCTAGCAGGTTTTGCTTTTCGTATGGAAGCTTCAATGAGTGGGATTTCACCGAGTGCCGTCCCTGTAGCCCCCTCAAATGCTGCTGAGACTGCTTGGACTGCTTTGATTCGTTCCTCTTCCTTGGCCTCATGGGCTCGATTCCACGTTTCAGATAATCTTTGAACCTTCTTACGTTGTCTTTTCTCGCCAGTATCAACTTCATGTCCATTTATGGACTCGGGCTGCTTAACCTCTTCTTCAGAGACTGAGATACCTTCTTCAGATAATATAAATCAGATTTTGAACAAAAGAATATGGCAGGAAATAAGTGAAATAGGAATTAAATGTAATGAAGTACGACAAATTGGATAACCAATTACAATATAGATAAAATAATGCTTATACTAATTTGAACTTACGGTTTCCCACTCCTAGAAAGTTTCTTACCGCAAGACTATTTGAAAATGAGGTTAACTTACTAACAGATAAATAAACTAAGAGTCTTTGAGAAAAGTGTGTCATTTTGACCTATCATGTTCCGCAACAAAGTAAAAAATAAAAGACTAGAGAAAATGTTAGGAGTACAGTTTACTGAGCTGGATGCTTTAATCGTAAAGCTTTCATTATTCTTACATACGATACCACCGGTTCAAACTCCAAACAGAAAACGCCAATTAGGATATCCGAATATATAACTGACATGTTTTGTCAACATTAAACTTGGCTGGTTTCTTTCAATTCCTGTCTTATGATTGGCTGAACATTTATTATGATTGTCTTCCTCACGAACCTGATTCTTGAGATTATGGTTGCACATAATTTATCTAAGTGACCGATAAATTAAATTAATTTATGTATCTATTTATTGCTGATCGACATGAGTACTACGCTTCTAAAAATTTTCTGGTCTTCATAGTATTCTCTATGCCATCGTATTTGATAGCTAACTGATGTTTATCCGGGGAGATACTTTGTTTGATGCAATGTGATAAAACAAATTTTTGATCATGGAAATTCTAAAAGATTTGTTCTATTTAAGGCTTTTACTGGTGATATTGTCTAAAAAGACAACGAAGGCTTCACAATCAAACCACAAGACTTGGAAATGGACGAAATAGAAAAATAGACAGTTAATGACTTATCGTGATATGTAGTGATATGAAAATTTACTGGATTGGAAACACCGGTGGTAATGACCAAGGGGTACACTCTCAAAAGAGCTTTATGAATCGATAAAGCATGTTCACACGAACAAACGTTAATAGGTAGTCTATTGGTCGTCTAATTAAAATAGTTCATAAGGGTCAGTTCATATATGTAACATTTTGACGATACAGAAGGAAAAATTGAAGACGGCAAATATAGTTTCGAGTGAAAGGGGGGAATAAATAAAGTGAGGTGACATCCACATTTAGAATTTAAGGAAAAAAAACCGTATTTGTGCTACTGGAACCTAATTTGAGCTATTTTACTCAACGTTTTTAACCAGCGATGAGTACCTAGTCTTCTTAAGGATCGTGGTAGTTAACAGGGATATAGGTAGAGACTACGAACACAACAACGTGCATTCTTATTTCTCCAATTTTTTACTGTACGACCTAGCTGGACAGCGTATAAGATAAGCCTGACTGAGATTCAGTCATGAGTGCTTGTTACGCTTTCAAACTCGGTGAAACACCTGCGCCCGAGGGACCAGAAGTCACAAGAGGATAATCAGATACCGGAAAGGTAGATAATCCTGGTTATTTAGACTGGGTAAGTATATTTAGCTGATTCTGGATGTGGGTTTCAGCACAGCATAGATCAGCGGAGTCAGTCTACAGTCTTGATGTTTGCTATTAACAGCTTCAATACTCGTTTCTAAGTGGTTCTGAGAAAAAGGCAATAATCATGGGTGGTATGCGCAAAAAATGGTGCAAGAGAAATAATGACAGCGATGAGAAATATGAGTTAAGCTGAAAATCTGATTGTGAATAAGACTAACTTGAGTGTTGTGATCGGTATTTTCCATTTGATGCTATGAAAAAAGGTATTTATTCTTGAAACCAAGAAAAAAAACTAGATTAATTGAATGTCGTGTCGACCTGAAAGTGAGACGGTTGAGCCTAAAGTAGAACAGCTTAATGCCAATCACATCATAATTTGATATATAGTCTCTGCTGTTTTAGATTTGCCAACTTCAGGCTACCCTACCAGAAATCATTAGAATAAAGTGGTGTATACCTGTAGATGTTTGCCGAATTGCAACGATGGACTCTGAAGATACACAATAGTAGAATATGGAAAGTATCCGAGTAGTAATAAATTAAATTTAAACATATCTAATTGGACACGTTATAAGTATTTTCACAGTAAATATGATAGTTTCGAATCTTTGTGAGCTAGTTTCTCTGAAATATACTTTCACTTGTCATATCGGAATAGTGACATGTTTATTGATGTCCGACAAGGATAGTTTTTATTGACGTAAAAGCAGCATTTGACTCTGTAGACCGAGAGGCTCAGCGGCAGTGTCTGTCATTGAAAGGTACACCTCAGAAGTACACAAACCCTGTGAAGGCTCTTTACTCGAACACTACTAATCGAGTCAGATATTATGGCAAACCGTCATCTGATTTCGCAACCTCAAGCGACGTCCGACAAGGCTGTTCACTATTATCATTTTTGTTCAAATTCATCATAGAGCTATTGCTGGAAATAACACTTCGACTGAATTTTCAGGAATCGATCCCCTACCAGGGGGTTCACTAATCGACTTAGAGTACGCAGATGACATAGTCCTGTTTGGTGAAGACGCTGACAAAATGCAATCTTCTGTAAGAACTGAGTAATAATGCTGGGATGTTAGGGGTGCGTTTCTCCCCATCTAAATGTAAATTGTTACTCCAGGACTGGCCTGCGTCAACACCTGAACTAAGGATAGGGAGTGAAGTAGTCGAAAGCGTCGACAACTTCACTTATCTTGGAAGTCTGACCTGCCCTAATGGGTTGATGTCTGACGAAATCTCAGCACGGATTCAAAAACCTCGTTTGGCTTTTGCCAACTTACGTCACTTATGGTGAAGACGATATCCGGCTATTAATTAAGGGACGAGTATACTGCACAGTAGTTCGCTCCGTTCTACTTTACGGCTGTGAAACATGGCCATTAAGAGTAAAAAATACTCGCAAGTTACTAGTATTTGACCACAGATGCTTTAGAAATATTGCTCGCATCTGCTGGGATCACCGGGTAAGTAATAGTGAGGTTAGACGCAGGGTATTAGGAAATGATGGTAAATTAGTTGATGAGGTCACGAATCTTCATCGACTGAGATAGTTAGGCCACGTGTTACGTATGCCTGAACACCGATTACCACGACACGCTATGATGACTAGTGTAGGGGATGGTTGGAAGGTTAGGGGCGGCCAAACCAAAACGTGGCATCAGTGCTTGAAGTCGTTAACTTTTAGTCTGAACCATGTTGGTAGATGCAGACTACTTGGTTGGGGTCCGCGCGACCATCGTAACCAATGGTTGGAGACTGAGTGACGGCTCAGAATCGATCACGATGGTGCAAGTGTATACACTGCTTATCTTCCCTTAAACCTTAAGACTAGAATTGCTTCGTAACGTTCTTCCTTCCTATACTATATTCTTATATACAACCTATCTTTCATATACTACCAACACTAAATTAACTATTTCTGTAAATCCGGTGTTCATCTTGTGCTAACGAGGTGTGGCAACTTGGAACGGTGAATAAATGTGTCTGGTCCTACGTTGTAGCTGACTGACTGATCAGAATAGTACCTTGGCGAGAGGATTCATCCAAAAGGAAAAAACCGGAAAGTACATCGACGCTACGCAATTCTTAGGGTATTGTGCACTTTTACATTTAACAACCAATTCATGAGGAAGAACCAGGTTTAAAACGACACATTATGGAAACTACGGACACAAAAATCAAAGGCAAAAGGGCGACTAAAATTTACAGACGAACCAATCAGGTTTAGGACGTGTATTGGATTTTGGCACAAAATTCACCCATCCATTTGGTCAAAAAGCGTTTGGGGATTTTCGCTGTCAGTTCAGAATTCAAACTTTAAATCTAATTCTTAACCCTAAATAATCAACTGTAAATTATAATTCTTATTCTTTACACAGGTTTATAACTCATTTAGCTCTAACAAGTAGGTGGACATTCTCAAGGCCAACTTAACGTCGCTCAAAGGTCGTCCATAAATTATAGTCTCAACACGATTACATAAGAAGCTCTGGGAATGTGAACAAGTATACGAAACAGGTTCCTAAAAAATTTAATGCACGCTTTCAAATTACCATGCGATTACTCAACTCCATGTACTATCTAATGCACTGAACTATATTGATGTTACAGTAGCTTTAGGTACTAGGATGAATAAGCGAAAATAACAAGACTACGAGAATACATAATTCTGGCTACCAAAATATGAAACCATCATTGAGAACTGGTAATTGGATACAAAAATATACTGCTTATAATATACTTATAATTTCACAGATGCAAGCATGTACTCTACCATCAACAAACGTGAGAAATTGCTAGACATTTAAACTCACGTTCTTGTTGAGGAGCTTCGTTATGACTATTGTCCACTTCGTCTAAAGAACCATCACTGTCCGCTACTTGAGGCAAATCCATCCTGATTGAAATGTTTCCAACTCTCGCGCGCGAGCTTCTTTAAAAACAAGGTCATTCGATATCCAATGATTTTAATGGTGGTCGAAACTTTTGAAGTATTGCATTTCAACAGACGCCGGTTGCCAACTGGTATACATTTTCATTTAGATAAGTCACGTGATGCAAGGATAAAGCGTAAAACCAATTGAAGCTGACTATTTTATTTGTGGATTGTCAAGGCCTTGAAAAAACGTAGAGAGTACATGAGCTAACAACTTGGAAAACCCTGTGAAGATAGGTTACTTGTCCATTCACATAAGGTTCACACAGAAAAACAGGACAGGGAAACTTGCGCGTTTCAAATTTAAGGAATAAACTGCCTATATATTGATATCGCAAGTTTACCGAATAAAATGTATGAGCTGCATCCTTGTAATAATTTGAAAACATTTGTTTTCTCTCCTCTGGCATTCCGATACCTAGAAACAGTTCCAAATGTTTACATGCGCTCGTTGAACGTCATGCTTAAGCCTGGTTATGATATCTAGAATTCCTAATTTTAAGTCAGTATTGTATGGATAGTGAACTATATCTGGTGAATTTCTACTTTAGACACCAGATTGCTGGACGTTGATCGACTTGCCAGTGATCGTCAGCATAAAGTACTACTAATGTGAACTTATGCCGCCGAACAGTCTGTGTGACAGTGTCATTATATTACATTTACTCAATTTTTTCTCAGTAAAGAACACCATTGTTTTGTGGAGATTCAGTTTGTTCTACTCGGTCGCCAAAGAGGTCACATCACCAGGATGCCATCATATGACCATCCACATCACGTACAGCTTTGACGTAAGTTGTTTGGGTACACCATCCCCGTCCAAATTTCGTTGACCCAGCACCAACATATATTTTCCTCAGTATATTTGCTGGTTTATTAGTTCATTTTCGCACCTAAAACGGTTGAGAAAAAACATTTGTATTTTGAAGCTATGTAGAGGGCTATCAGGATATAAAACAGTATGGCAACCTTTGAATTGAAAATATAAACTAGAATCACCTTTAAAATTACTCTCCTATACGTTAAGCTGACATAAATGCCGAAATTCCGGAATATAATTGTTATGATTATCCCGATATTTGGTGAAAACATAGTGATGAGCACATGTCAGTTGACTGAGACGTTAACGCGTAGGACTGTCTCAACAAGTAATTGGAGTTACTTCAGGAAATATACTATATAACTTTGAATCATCCAAGACCGCAGTTCGGTATTTTTGGCATAGTACTTAAAGGATTTAGATTAACTCGGTATTCAGCAAACTAAAAAGTCAAAGACAATAAGAAGAAGTAGAATCTTTGATATGGTACATATGACGATGGGTATGACCTATATGGAAGAGGTGGCCTAACAAGACCGAATTTATTACATGTTTTAGTGGCCCAATATCTGATTCCAGTTAGATCGAACGAATGATCGCTATTGAATGATTGCTGTCGAAATATACATCCTTGGTACCCTGTAATATAATCATCGACCTAACTAGTGTTGGGGGATAACGTAAATAAATAAGTCAAATGCGAGGATGAATTTTTGAATTCGTATATTTTGCACAATCGTTGATCAGAACAGACAATTAGAGACGGAGAGGAGAAAGCGAAAATAATTGGGGAAGGCATGTTAGCCAAGCGTGACTTAATATTTTTAGTCAGATACAAATAAGCTACAGACTTGTGATGAGTCAGATAGGAAATGCATACACACATAAAACAGTCGTGGTTGATAAGCTAATATATGACGGAGTGAAAATGTGGCTTGACAAGAATAAGTAGATTGATTTGTCCAGAGGCTTGAATAACCTATGTGAGCATGACGTAGTACCAGCCCCCACAATGTATACAAGGAAATGCAATAAATCCAACGCATATCTCTATGGAATCTCACGAGTACACTTCGTATCCTAAGAGAACTAGCTACTTATTTCGACCCTAAAGATCAGTTGTGAAGACATCAATTATATAAGCTAAACAACAGTGACCAGGAATCTAAATTATTAAGCTCGATAGTGTGACGGCAGTGATCTCAGATCTATTAAAGTAAACATATCTCAGATCCACATTAATTTACGATCATCCGATACTATGCACCTACCAACGACTACAACGAAGACGTTAAAGATCAATTCCACGATAGGCTACAGTCGATCGTCGAAAAGTGCCCAACAAAGAACCTGACCATTCTGATGGGAGATTTAAATGCCAGGGTTGGAATGGATAACACGGGATATGAAGACATCATGGGACGACATGGACTGGGATAAAGGAACGAAAATCGTGAGTGATTTGCATACCTATGTGCCTTCAATAAACTGGTCATAGTCAGCACTATATGCTCACACAAACGCATTCACAAAACCACATGGACTTCACCGGATCACACTACGCAGAACCAAATCGACTATATCTGCATGAACAAAAAGTTCAGGGGGACTATGGAGGATGTGAGAACCAGGAGAGGATCTGACATAGCATCAGATCATCACGTGCTGGTCGCCAACATTAAATTAAAACTTAAGATTCACTGGACAACGGGACGGACATCATAAAAGTATAATACGGGATTCTGATAAACTCAACAAATTCAAGTTAGTCCTCAACAACAAGTTTCAGGCCTTCCATTAGCTACTGAATGGAGAGGGATCTACCATGGAGAGCAACTAAAAAAGGATAAAAGAGGCAATCATTTCAACATGTCAGAAGGTTCTGGGCCAAACGAAGCACTATCACAAGGAATGGATCACTGTTGGTACACTGGAAAAGATTGAGGAAAGGAGGAACAAGAAAACAGCGACCAATACCAGCCGAACAAGAGCAGAAAAAGCCAAGGCTCAAGCCGAATACGCAGAAGCAAACAAGCAAGGGAAGAGGAGCATCAGAAACGACAAACGTAAATATGTGGAAGATTTAGCAATGACAGCGGAAAAGGCTGCAAGAAAGGGAAACATGAGCGATTGTATGATACCACAAAGAAACTCACTGGAAAATACCACATACCAGAATGAACAGTGAAAGACAAGGAAGGCAAAGTAAACATCAAAATTGAAGTACAGAGAAACAGGTGGGTAGAACTCTTGAATGGACAACCTCCACTGAACACACCCAAAATTGAAGCAGCACCCACAGACCTCTCAATCGTTATTGGCTCAACAACAACTGAAGTGATCAGCATGGCCACCAGGCAAATCAAGAGCGGCAAAGCAGTGGGAACAGACAACATTCCAGCAGATGCACTGAAAGCAGATGCAGCAGCAACTGAAAAGATACTCCATATTCTCTTCAGTAAGATTTGGGATGAAGAACATGTACCAACAGACTGGAAAGAAAGACTTCTAATCAATGTACCAAAGAAAGGCGATCTCAGCAAGTGTGATGGCTACAGGGGCATCACTCTTCTCTCAATAGCAGGAAAAGTCTTCAACAGGACAGTGTTAAACAGAGTGAAGGAGGCACTATATGAATGAGCCGTAATTAATATGTTTACGCAATATACTTCGGATCCGTTGACCAGACACTATCAGCAACAACCTACTATGGGAGACAATAAACCAGATTCCAGCGGAAGAAGAAATCAGGAAGAAGCGCTGGAAGTGGATTGGGCACACTTTGAGGAAATCACCCGACTAGGCCACAAGGAAAGCCATCACATGGAATCCAAAAGGTCAAAGGAGAGGAGGAAGACCAAAGAACACATTACGCCGAGAAATGGAGATTGACATGAGAAGAATGAACAAATATTGGACAGAACTAGAAAGGAAGGCGCAGGACAGAGTGGGTTGCAGAACGCTGGTAAGCGGCCTACGCTCAATTGAGAGCAACAGGCGTAAGTAAGCAAGTAAGTAAGTAAGACATTTAACACAACATGTTCGCTAATGAAACAAGTTCCATACAGCTACACCCCCACAACCTAAGTTCACTTTTACACCTAAAATTCCTTCTTTGGTCAGTTCTTGAAAAACAGGTGATTGATAACTCTTATCTTTCCATCAAATAACGAGAAAACAGGATATCCAAGTTCACAATATTTGTATTACACTCATAAATGGGGTACGATCGGTGTGCAGTTCTAAAGAGCAAAAATATTAGCGCCATAAATAGCGTTATAAATCGTCAATTTGTGGGTGTTCAGAGCAGAGATGCAAGTTAACAGACTTAAAGTGGTTTTAAACCAAATGTCCAGGTTTCAAATTTCAGTTTACTTTTCAGATATCCTGTAACCAAATGACCATTGGTATGTCACGTAAATCCAATGTTAAAATGGAAAACGTGGACCATGTAATGAATTGAGGATGAGTTCTAGGTACACAAATAACTAAAAACACAAGTAAGTGAGCTATGAAAAAACAGATACAGCATAGATTTTACACATTAGTTCACTTATTCTGCCTGGGGGTGTTTCACTGAATTGCTGACAAGCAAGCGTTGATGGTGAGGACGATGACTTCAACCCACTGGTGTTTTCAGAGCTTAAAATCTCGATTGTTTCAGGCTCTTTATGATTACGTACGAAGCAATCAATCAGTGATACTGAGGCAATACTGAGGCAAAAGATCGCAATATTCCCGTAGATGTCATTTTCATAGATCTAAGTAAAGCCTTTGATTAGGTTTCCCATTCTGGTCTTAAATTGAAACTAGAAAGTTTTGGAATTCATTATGCAGTCATAGACTGGCTAAGTGACTTTCTTCATGAAAGGAGACAACGGGTAAGAGTAAATGGGGCTCTCTCATCGTGGGAACCAGTAAAAAGTGGCGTCCCCCAAGGCACGATTTTAGGTCCTCTTCTCTTTTTACTTTATATAAATGAATTACCAGCTATAGCTAAGTCATCCGTCCTACTATTCGCCGATGACATTAAGATTTGGAGACCCATATATAGTATGTCAGACAGAATAGTTTTACAGGAAGATCTTAACTCACTAGTTGCATGGATGAATGGGTGGTCACTAGAAGTAAACCCTAATAAAAGTGTTTTGATGCAATTAAATAACTACGATGATTCGTATCACTACACATTATGTGGACTAGTGTTGCCCAAAGTAAGAAACTATAAAGATTTAGGAGTCATACTAAGTAATGATCTCAAAACAACCAGTCACTGTAAGGCTGCTGCTGCAAAAGGCTATAGGGCATTATGGTCTATTCGTAGATCTTTCCGGTATCTGGATGCGGAAATGTTTGGATTATTATACCCAACTTTCGTACGGCCACATTTGGAATATGGGATTCAAGCAGCGAGTCCTTGTTTCAAATATGAGGCGGATATGTTGGAACGAGTCCAACGCCGCGGTACAAAAATGGTAAAAGGCTTATCTAGCCTATCTTATGAAGACAGACTGAGATACCTCAACTTATTTCCGTTATCTTACCGGCGAATACGAGGTGATCTAATATTGGCATATCGTATCCTGAACGATGACCTTAGAACTAACATGTCCTATCTTTTCCTCCCGTCTAGGGCTGAGCATTTGAGAGGACATTCAAAGAAAGTCTAAAAACCGAGATCAAATCGTCTAGGTCTGGAGTTTCGTTTCTCGCACCGAGTAGTGAATTACTGGAATTCTTTCAGTCAGTCTTTCAGTCTTCAGTAATAAGGATAGTAGGTTGATGAACCTGTGTTAATCCTGACAGATTTCCTTCCAGTGAAGGTCCGGCTTCTTTTTGAAAATGTTCACTGATGGTGCTGATACCACTTGTTCTGGTAAAGCGTTCCAATCATTGACCACTCGATGAGAAAAACGGGACCCCACCTTTAGTTTATTAGATCGCGGTTTCAGAACCTTCTTGCTATGACCCCGGAGATTATTAGTGCTGGAGGGAGCAAAAGGGTAAGACATATTAACACCCAGATCATAATTAAAGATACGAAATGCCAGTATAAGGTCACCTCGCGTCCCACGATAAGATAAGGGGAAAAGATTTAGACGTTTTAAACGCTCATCGTAAGGGAGTTTGGAAAGACCCTCTACTAATTTTGTCCCTACACGCTGGACACGCTCAAGCGATTTAGTATCCTTTATCAGACAAGGGCTAGCTGCTTGGATACAGTATTCTAAGTGTGGCCTTACATAGGTGGGATATAAAATTCGAAACATATCCCCGTCAAAGCATTTAAATGCTCTGCGAAGCGACCATAGCGCTCGATAGCCTTTGGAAGCAACCGCATTGCAGTGCGTAGTAGTTTTTAAGTCGTGACTTATAATTACTCCTAAGTCTTTATGCGCATGAACGCGTGGCAGAGATGTACCATTAATGGTATAGTGGTAACTAATATCGTGCCCGATGTGCATGAACACGCTCTTCCTGGAATTAACTTCCAGGCCCCAATCATGAGCCCACCTAACTAATTCGTCTAAATCTGCTTGTAGATAACAACGATCAGTCTCATTTCTTATTGTTCTCCAGATTTTAACATCATCCGCAAACAATAACGTCGACGACTTAAGTAATAAAGGTAGTTCATTAATATACAGAAGGAAAAGTAAAGGGCCCAAGATGGTGCCTTGGGGTACACCACTTCTGACCGGTTTCCATTCGGATAGAGTTCCATTGACTCTCACTCTCTGTCTGCGGTCACATAAGAAGCTTCCTATCCATTCCTGTATAGCACCTGTTATACCAAAGCTCGAAAGCTTTTGCATAAGACCTAAGTGTGAAACCTTATCAAACGCTTTGCTAAAATCTATAAATATCACGTCAACAGACTGGCCGTTGTCTAGGGCAGCTGTCCAATCCTCTCTCGCAATGAGTAAGTTAGTCAAGCATGAATGCTTGTTACGAAACCCATGTTGCTCGGGAGTTAACAGGTTGTACGAATCTATGTGGCTCAGTAGCTTAGCCCGAATTAATTTTTCAGGTAACTTAACTACTATACTGGTCAGGCTAACAGACCGGTAGTTAGATACTATCCGTCTCTGACCATCCTTAAATATAGGACTAACTATGGCGTCTTTCCAGTCTCTAGGTAGTTGAGCCTGTGAAAGGGACATGTTGAAGAGCATCGTGAGCGGTCTTGAGATAGTGTCCGCAAGCGACGACAGCAAACGTGGGTGTAACCCATCGGGGCCCGGTATCTTACAAGGTTTTAGGTTAGTTATCAAAGGAAGAACTATATCCTCTGTCACGTGCAAAGGTCCTATGGCTGGTATCTCATTGTCAACGGGACAAGTAGTTGTAACACTACACGTAGAGTAGACTTCACTGAAATAGTTAGCAAATAACTCCGCTTTCGCTAGATCAGATTCAGCCAATAAAGCTGAATTTTCGCTTAATAGTAATGAGGGGATACCATCACTACGTTTCGTCCGCCTTTTAACGTACGAAAACAGTCGCTTCGGACAGGTACGGCTATCGTATGCCAACTGTCGTTCGTAAGCCGTGCGGGATTTAGCTATGGTCTTTTTACATATATTCCGGATTTTTTTATATTCGCACTTAAATTATGCCTGACCTGTTGACAAGAATAAGTCCCAGAAGTGTTTCCTACGCTTCTCTACCAGAACACGTAATATCAGCACCTTCTGTTGATATATTCAAGACGAGATTGGACCTCCACAGTGCAACAAACTGCAAGGATTAAAATAGGTCACTAGATCTTCTATTTTTATTACTGAAGACTGAAGACTGAATATTGATAAAACGACCTTAAGGAAACCGGCCTGTTTGACCCACATTTCCGATGGTTAAGATTACGAAGTTGGTTGTTTGTGGACCGACTGGTTCCGGGAAAACTTCTCTGATTGAACACTGTATATATGGGAACTATTTTGAAAGGCAACCAGATGACTTCGTAAGTCATTTCGTTATTCCAGCATTCTTATTCTTTAAACCTTGATGCCGTTTTCTTATGCAACAGACTTCATTGTCGACAATCAATCTCAGGATAAGCGTATGGTGACTGTTAAGAGCTTCAACCGGTTTCTCAATGTAGTTAATCTGGAAATAAAATACACCGCACACTAGTTGATTCAAATTAACAGCAACCAAGCGACTGAACTAACTATTTAGGCCTTCCTAATCGATAAGAGTATACAATAGTTAGTTTACAATTCATAAGTAAAATGTACAAGACTTCAGATTAAAAAAGTGTGGTTGTGGGCGGGACTATAGTTAATGGACGAACCTTAAGTAATCTTGAGAAATGCTGGTCAATCAGTAAACATAGAGTAAAAATATATTATACAAAACCAAATAATTAAAGTAGATACACTTCTTTTATATGGTCTAAAAACTTGTCAATGTTAGAAAAAGGTTCAAAGGTTCCAAAATCCTAATGGAACTCATCCATATACCTCCATTTTAGTTGGTCTCTGGAGCCATGATATGGTCATAAAAACCCTCTCAGCCTCGACCATATAGCTTCACTATTGTTTATGTGTACTACGGTTGTGTAAGTTTATAATTTTTATTATGGATATGTTCCTGCAATACTCATACTACTGCATAGCCGAAGCTTAATTCACATCAATGGTGTGCATGGGCTCCAGAATCCTGAGAGAACAAATGGCGTATGAATCAATCGTTGGTCACCGGCTGCCATGGGACTGCATCTCCTCACGATGCTCCACTGCCTTGTGGATCAGACCTTTAGGTCAAAGGCTCAGGATGTGGTCCCCTAAGAAAACCTGCTTCAGTTTGGACACCTGGGTAGTATCACAGGTTTCACACAAATTAGATGAGATTTGTGAGGCGCATATATATCTGGTGCTTCCTTGTACCAATATTTTTGCCCAAATAAATAAATAATCAGTACCATCTGCGATTATTACAGCCAATGTTATTGGTGCTTTTATTATACAGTTGGCGGCAATTATTATAATATGTATTAGTCTCAATCTGGATCGAGCGATAAAGGTTCCTATCCTAGCAAACGTCTTCCTTCAACATATATTACATCGAAGGACAACATGATGTTAGTCTGCACAAGGTCTACAAGTCATTTAATACTCGTAATCACAAATAAAGGAACTTCTTAGTAGCCCCATTTATTGTAGCCGCTTAATTGTCAAGTGTTCTCTAAAATTCTCTGTGAACCAATCGTACATGGGCATCAGGTACCGAAATTGGCGCTGTGACCTTGAAGTCCTTCGAACGCTTCTGATTGGCTCGTTCATAGATTATAGTCTCGCCCAAAACCACCACATTTTTCAAAACATTAAATCAATGTTTTATGAATATTATCTTTAAATAGTGAGAATTCCTTTCTAATTTCCTTGTCATGTATACATATGATAATCATTTACTTAAGAATATACTTTGATTACCAGATTTCGACTTATGAAGACACGTATAATGCTGTTGTCGAGACAGATCGTGGTTCTAAAGAAAAAGTTCGAATTTACGATCTTGGAGGGATGACTAAATTGGAAAAACATTTTGTGAATTGTGCTGATGCATTCATTTTGGTATATGATATAAGCGATTTCAAATCTTTCAGCTCTGTTCAAAGTCTAAAACAAGACGTAAATCCGTTTTATTAAATATCATAACTTTTATTTCTGTAGATTGACAAATATCGCGAGAAACGTGATTTATGCATTGTAGTTAGCTGTCACAAGGTGGATAAACCTAAAGATGCAACTTTAGATTCTGCAGAAATTTCTCGATGGTCTCAATCCGAGAAAGGTAATCAAATTGTGTCCTATATCATGATGTAATAAATGGTGTTTAGTATCACTTTTTACAGAAAGGAATGTACTAGAAACACCAAGAGATGCTCCACAAATAATAAGATGAAGGGTTTGATGCATAAAACAATAGTCTCCATTTAATGATTAGTGGAAGTGTGGTTTATCAAGTGTCCCGTCAGGCGAACCGACTGTCAGTAACAGACTACGTTTTTAATGTTTTCAAAAATTCTTGACGTAGATAGCTGAAGTGGTGTCTCTAAGATGTTTCTCAATGAACGAAATTCTTAATCCTAATAAACATATGATTTAAAGCTTTCCGTCGGTGCCAGTTATCCTTTATCCTTGTTAATATTAGGTATAGAGCATCAAGTTATCGGTGATCTAGATGTATTTAGCTCTGTTTTCAGTTCTTCAACTCCATCTGCTTTGAGGTTTCTTACAGATTTTCAAATATACAAGTCCCAAAAGTCTGACCGTAATCAAATTTATCACATTTATTTGGTAAGTATTCAGAAACTGACAGATGACTAAGACATCTCTTTTTCTACCGATTAGGTAACCGATTCCAAACGTTTCCCATTTCCAGGAAAATCTACACCGCTTCGACTTACTGTCCAGATATTTATGATTTACCAAAATAATGAGTCGACCTAATAGTGTTTTGAATATGGTAAGTGTGTACGTACTTAACGTCCAAATAAAGTGAAAGGTTAAGATGTAAAGATAATAAAAAACTTGTAGGTCCAATTAAGAACAGTAACAAAAATAATGATAACACAAAAAGAGAATGTGCATAATAGTTATATAATAATGCGAGGGTTTGAATTAGATATGGTGGTTGCCACATCTCTTTCAGACTAATTTGCTCTTCTTTCTGATCTTATCGTTGTTTCTGTGGTTGCTGAACTTCGGTGTGGGCTAGTGTTTGTTGCAGGTCGTTTGTTTATTGCTTGCTCTACCGTAGATTTTAGTGATTTTATCGCTTCCTTCTCAGTGCTCTCTAAAAATTTTGATTTCACGCGATCGGTGCTAACAGTGTCTTACCTACTCTTCCTGCTTTGACTGTTTTGCTGTCTTTCCTGATTATTTTAAGAGGGCTGTCGTACTCTATCATTTCTGACGAATCTATGTGAGCATTTGTCTAATTCGATAAGCACGAATGATCTTGCTTTCTGGATTCGTGGTTTGACAGATCTAATTTATTCCATATGTTGTCTTAATTTCTGGTTACATCTGCTGGAATATTTGTTGCACGGTCAGAAAATTCACCAGGCAAATATAGCGTCGTTCCATAGACCAACTCAGCAGTACAAAAGTCAATGCCTTGTCCGAGAGTTGAGCAGATGCTTAATCAGTTAGTCAGTCACAACATTGAGCCTGGTACATATGTACATCTGTTCAAGGTGCTATACCCCATTAGCACAGAGATAAAATTGTCAGGCCAAATCTCAGAATAGTAGAGCGTAAGTTTCCGTGATAGCGGAAAAGGTAAGGCATCGAAGAGGAGATTTGAGAAGAAAATATAATCAGTGAAAAATACCTAAATAAATTACGCCTGTTACCCCTCGTAGAGGAGCATAGGCCACCCACCAGCATTCTCCATCTAACTCTGTCCTGGACTTCCCTTTCCATTTGTGTCCAGTTGCTATTCGTTTTTGTGTCTGCCTCCAATTCCCAACACAATGTATTTTTTGGTCTTCCTCTTTTCCTTTCCCCTTCAGGATTCCAAGTTAGAGCTTGCCTCGTGATGCAGTTTGATTTTTTCCGTAATGTATGTGCCATGCACTTCCATCATCTTTTCCTAATTTCCTCTTCAGCTGGAAGTTGGTTTGTTCTTCCCATAGACTGCTGCCCAAAAAATTAAATAAGGTTATGAGGAATTTGGAATCTCAGAATTTTGAGAAAGACAAAATGCGGATGCACCTTCTTCATCGCAAACGATTTTGAGCGTTTCTATTCGAAGTCTCTGACCGTCTATTTTGATGATCGCGCTAACCCTAACCAGGTAGACTACACTAATTAACATGGTTCAGTTCAATCGGCGATGACTTGATAGAATGATGCCATATTTTGTTTTGGTCGCCACTAACTTTCTTCCAACATACTCTTGTATCAGTAAACATGGCCCGGCCCCCAAATGCCCTGGTACGGCCGAGAGTGGGGAGAGTCCGCTCTCCCTCTCCAAATGCTCTCACATGGCCACGCGAATATATAGCCTCTGCCAGGGAAGTACTACTCACTGCCTTCTCGTGGCGGGGGTGTTGTGTACGAAAGTGAGAGGACGAAAAGCGAATGTCTGGCGCTTTAACCGGGTTGGTGGACATGGAGGGTCCACTTACGGGAGTTGGAAAACCCTGATTCCAAACCAATGGTGTACATGGGCTCCAGTATCCTGAAGGAACAAATGGCGTATGAATCAATCGTTGGTTATCGGTTACCATGGGACTGCATCTCCTCACGATGCTCCACTGCCTTGTGGATCAAACCTTTCGGTTAAAGGCTCCGGTTGTGGCCTCTTAAGAAAACCACTTGCTTCAGTTTGGACACCTGGGCAGTATCATAGCCCTGACACAAAAATGGAATGAGATTTGTGAGGCGCATATTTATCTGGTGCTTCCTTGTACCAATATTTATGTGTTTATTTATTATTTATTTATTTAAACACATAAATATTAGTACAATGAAGCACCAGATAAATATGCGCCTCACAAATCTCATTCGATTTGTGTGAGTGCTGTGATACTGACAGGGTGCCAAAACTGAAGCAGGTGGTTTTCTTAGGAGTCCACAACCGGAGCCTTTGACCTGAATGTCTGATCCACAAGGCAGTGGAGCATCGTAAGGAGATGCAGTCCCATGGTAGCCGTTGACCAATGACAGGTTCGTCCGCCATTCGTTCCATCAGGATACTGGAGCCCATGTACACCATTGGTTTGGAATCAGGGTTTTCCAACTCCCGTAAGTGGACCCTCCATGTCCACCAACCCGGTTAAAGCGCCAGACATTCGCTTTTCGTCCTCTCACTTTCGTACACAACACCCCCGCCACGAGAAGGCAGTGAGTAGTACTTCCCTGGCAGAGGCTATATATTCGCGTGGCCATGTGAGAGCATTTGGAGAGGGAGAGCGGACTCTCCCCACTCTCGGCCGTACCAGGGCATTTGGGGGCCGGGCCATGTTTACTGATACAAGAGTATGTTGGAAGAAAGTTAGTGGCGACCAAAACAAAATATGGCATCATTCTATCAAGTCATCGGCGATTGAACTGAACCATGTTAATTCAGTCAGTCAGTCACAACGTAGAACTTCGTACGTACGTACATCAGTTCGAGTTGCCATACCACATTAGCACAGAGATGCAGTTGTCGATTCAAATCCCATAGTGGTAGAAGTAGTAGGAGTATAATCAGAAATCCAAAAGATTAGGGTTTGAAGAAATTATTGAAGGAGTATAGTACAGTCAAGGTAGCAGCAACGGTCGGGGAACCATGTTAATTAGTGTAGTCTACCTGGTTAGGGTTAGCGTGATCATCAAAATAGACGGTCAGAGACTTCGAATAGAAACGCTCAAAATCGTTTGCGATGGAGAAGGTGCATCCGCACTTTGTGTTTAAATAAATAAATAAATAAAGACATCGATCATCGAGGAAGTAGGCGATCATCGAACATAGGTAACACAAGTCCTAACCATTTCTGTGAATATAGACTTAATACCTCACCATTCTGTTCTCCATCTTTACCTAATAATCTATTTCTAAGTCAGGCATTGCTCACTGTTAATTGTATGGTAACTTAGTTTTGTATATTAATCCACCTGGTCTGTGTTTTTGTGTATGAGCTTTTATCTAGGCTTCTTGGATAACAAGAGGTATAGAGTGTAAGGGTAGTATAAGTGAAAAATGGAATCTCGTCTTTCACACTTTTGTTTATAAAAGTAGTTTTGCGAAACACTTGTTTAACATTCGTAAGAACAAATAATGAATTATTTATTTGGTGCGTAAGCGATTATTCAGTGGTAATACATCATTTCAATTTACCTAACTCAAAATGATCGACTAAAAAAATTGATCTCCATTCAATATACCAACTTGATGTCTAATGAAAGCAATTTGTCTAAATGTAAGTTGTTTTATCAGTTCATTGAGTAAACTTTGATAAACAAATGCAGTTACTTTTCTGTATAAGGTTTACACTATTAGTTAAATTGTTCTGGTCACCTCCTGAGTTATCTGGATGGAAACTGTAAACAAGATTCTTTTCCAGCATGTGTTCTATAACAATTCAAAAATGCTTTGCTTAGTTTCGTTTCTCCGGGAAAATAATAAAGGCTAAAATATCACTGTTCTTGAGTGGTTAGCTTTATATTAATATGTCTATCTATCTTTTCACTGTCACAGAAGGAAATTTGCATAATCAGAAAATATAATTATTATATTGTTCATCAGATCGATCCACTTCATTTTCTATGGACTTATGATTTTTCTAGAAATTAGTCGAAATCTATTGATTGGTTTGTTTACACTTTTTCATCAGTAAATAAATAATGTTTTTAAACTGTAAGATTTGATTCTCTGTTTATTCGGTTAGTAGATTAGAAACCATTATAGTAAAAGAAGTTCTTGAATCATCAGTGTTTTCTATCTAGATAGTTTACTGTTTTCTTTAGTGAGTACCTTTTTTTGTAAATGTTAAGCTCATGGAGGTAGATACAAAATTGAATGGTTGAAAAGAAGTTGTCAAATAACTTTGGACATCACTTTCTTGCCTCTTAATGATAACAAAGATAAGAATACCTTGGACATGAAAGGAATGAGGTCTTTTTTATAGATTCAAAAATATATCACCTTGTATCGCAGCAAGCGGCCACTAATAATTTGTTTGGGTAGTGTCTAATTATCTGTCAAACTGGATGATTGATAGTTGTTTGTTTACACATTATTATAAATTCACTAGTTCGAATATAGGATGCATATAAGATTCTGAGTCTCTACCACTATACGATAATAATTGATTGAATGTTCTCAACAGAAGGTGACATGAAATCAACTTGTTTTCTCATTCTTGGCTTTTGCTTACAGCTTTATTTTCACTGGATAAAAGTCAGTCATAAGCTAAGATAGTAAAAGATTTCTACACTTCCCTTACTAATAGACTGATTTTTTAAAGTAATCCCACTTAATTCAAAGTATCTGTATATATACTATGTTTAAGTTAATCATAGGAAAAGTTTTTTAGGCTTATTAACTGTTATGTGGGTTTTTCTCGGCCTAAATATATGTCAATCTTGATATTGTCATCGTTTTGAAAGTCACTTAACCCAAATACTCTTAAAACCTAAATAACAAGTAAGTTTCGTGTTGTGATAATTAAGACCATTCAAATTTCTTTAATTTTTTGTAGTTATCTTTACATTTCATGTAGTTACATTATTAGTATAGTAAGTTTGTTTATAACTAATTTGTCCAGGGGGATAAATTTCCTTTGTTCTGCTAATCGATTTACACCAAACATGGTATTCTTGATTGTTGGAACTTCAAAAGTGATGTTTTTCACTCTTTTTTCAATTCAGTGGCAAATATATTTGAAACAACTGTGTATGACCGCCAATCACTCATGAATCTATTCACATGGACTATTTCCCGTATCACTCAGTCCCAAAGTGAGTAAAAATATATCGAACATATCATAATTCTTTATTGACCTGATATTTAACTTTTTATCCATAGATACAGCATTTTAAATACTATTTATTTTCAGAACAACAGTTGAACATAAACTGAAACCATTTAAAATGCTAATGAAAAGGAGTTCCAAAGTTTTTCCATCTTAGTTAATTTTCCTTTTACAACACTGCAATTGGCATTTTTTGATCGTTCAAAACCAAGATTTTCTTAGCATCCATTAAATTTGATATTGGTGTTTTGCCTGTCTAAGATCCAACAACCAACATTTTCCGGTGAAAATAAAGTGACTGTTGGTCAGAATCTGAAATACATATATACCTAACGATAACCTAATATAATTCACTACTCTTTAAGGCGTATTCGGCTAATTGTTTACGAAGCAAGCAATGAACAGTTATACCACGTTATCCTTTGTAGGATTTAAGAGTTGTTGTATCAGTTGACAGCATTGAATGATATACACAAGCGACTACAATTTTTACCACATATTTACGCTTTTGACAACTATGCTGGACGACGTTATTTTCTCAGGCGTTCTTTGATGAACACATATAATATTCCTTTTGATAGGAAATTTCAACAAGTCTCCGAGTTTCTTTAGATACCTTTCGAAATACAGAATTAACTGACGAGTATTTCACTAAATTTGATAATTTAAGATGATGCTATTTAGTCAGTTACGTAGCTTGATAACACTAGTTGAAGTGATCAGTCGCGTTCAATTCATTATTTTTACAAAATAAAATACCACCTGCTCTGTTGTAAAGTCTTAATTGATTAAATTTGTATATTTTTGAAAAGATCTATACTGTAAGTTGTGCCGAAGTTGGGCGAAAAGCTTTTAGCCTATAGAGTAAGCAACACTAGAAATTAATAACCTTATATGACAAGCTATATATCTCTCCCTGATGTATCAAAAGTACTCCCAGTTTAATTGATAATAATATTCTTCTTTGTCAACATTAATATTTGTATGTTCAATCTCAGACAAGTGTCCAACTGTTTTTCTTCAATTATCAATAATTCTCCACATCTTATCAGTTTTGTGCTAAGAATTGTCTTCAAATTAATCAATTCGATTAATATATATGAGTTGTGACATCATATCTGTCCGTTTCATTATACACGATACTACACACATAATTGGAAATGTTTTACAAACAAGTAAGCTGTTATGTCTTACTTTTAATTTGTTGTCGAAAAGAAAACAACCACATTTTTCTCAGAACACGGTGATTATAGTCGATAAACACTTTTGTAAATGATGTTAATAATTAAGGTGATGAATCAATAATAATAATACGGGACAATTTTTGTTAAGAAGATGATTTATTTGTTTTAGGTTTAATGTATATAAACAATGTACATCTATAGTGTTATGCTTGTGCAATTGGTGATGAACATACATGCCTGAACACCGATTACCACGACGCGCTATGCTGACTAGTGTAGGGGGTGGTTGGAAGAAAAATAGGGGCGGCCAAACCAAGACGTGGCACCAGTGTTTGAAGTCACTAACTTCTAGTCTGAGCCATGTTGGCAGATGCAGACTACTTGGCTGGGTTTGGCGTGACTATCGTAACCAATGGTTGGAGACTGGGTGAAATGGCTTAGAGTCGATCACAATGGCGTCGGTGTATACACTCTTTATCTTCCCTTAAACCTTGAGATTAAAATTGTTTCATTGCTTTCTTTCTCCCTATACTATATCCTTATATACAACCTATCTTTTATATGCTACGACCACTAAATTAACTACTTCTATTAATCCGGTGTTCATCGTGTTGTGCTAACGAGGTATGGCAGCTTGGACTGATGTATATATGTGCCTGAATCTACGTTGCAGCTGACTGACATTAAAAAAGTTTAATTATTTCTAATCAAAAGTAATTTGACATTTTCAAATAGTTAAAATGGAATCAAATATAATAATAATAATTAATTAATGGCTTTATTCAATATTATTATCTGGTACCATATAGAATTCTCAGCACGAGTTATTTCAACAAGTTTTTTTACCAAAAAAAACACAAAAACAAAAAAACCCAGTAGCTACTGCGCCACCACAGGTCTTTTTATTGTTTGATCGATCCTGACGATAGATATTAAGATCACGTAGTGATACTAGGCAATCATCCTGTAAGTCAGTCAACCAAGATTCTTGAATTGTGATGACACCACAATTACGATACATGTTTTGACTTAGCAGAAATTGGAGATAGTCCACCTTGTTAATTAGAGATCGACAGTTAGAGTTAAGTAGCTCGGGAATCGACATTTGATTAATGTTTATTCTCTCTAAAGCATATTGCCAAACACCACAATGTCTCTTATTGTACTTTTTTGTAATTTTTGCAGCGAAAGGACGTAAGCTTTTCATAAACGCGCCTGTATAGGTTATGCGATCAAGAGACATAATGATAGGTTAAAACCAATTTTTAAAAAACCCAGATAACTTGTTGAAATATTTAGATGGCAGAAACAGGTAGCCCAGGGATTCAAGCAGGCCGCCCTTTTAATATGTGTCTGTGAATTTGTAATGAATGTGCTTTTCAAGTATTCAATATGTGTGTGAGATCTAGTATTTCTCCGTTCACTGAGGATTTTATTTCGAATCCTAACTTTCAATTGATTTGCTTTTTTTGATCTGCCACGTTGGAATACTCTTCAATAGCTTGTTCACAGAAAATATATGTAAGTAGCTTTCAATGATTGAAATGAAATCTTTAGTGGAATGACACTCTTATGTACAGAAATGTTATACTAATTGAACAGAGAAATGCTACTTTTCTCAAACATTCAAAAAAGATTGATTATTCATACACAATGAAATTACTCTTTTATATTTTTTGAATATAAAAAATGTATTACAGTTAGTTTTATTTGTCTCCAGTATCATGAGTGAATCAATCGTTGGTCACCGGCTACCATGGGACTGCATCTCCTTACGATGCTCCACTGCCTTGTGGATCAGACCTTTATGTCAAAGGCTCCGGTTGTGGCCTCCTAAGAAAACCACCTGCTTCAGTTTTGGCACCCTATCAGTATCACAGCCCTCACACAAATCTAATGAGATTTGTGTGGCGCATATATATCTGGTGCCATTTTGTACCAATATTTATGTGTTTAAATAAATAAATCTGGTGCTTCCTCTTTTCGCTCATTTCCATTAATAGCTATCATTTTCTTATTCCTTGGATCGTTTAACTTATTTTCAGTGTTTTTGAAAACCTCAGTATTGAGTTTCTCTAGCGAACGCTTGATTACGTATTACTAAACTAATAAACAGATTCTTACTAGTCGATAAATCATAAATCCCAAACAAATAAAAAGGTGGTTAGTTAACTGAAGCCTCACTTTAAATTCGGTTCTTATACATAAATCAAGTGTTAGTCATTCGGCCACATGAAACTTTGGAGTTCGGAAAAGAACGTCAAAACCTTTATAAAATTAATAAGTTTGGTAAGTGAGATCAGGAAAAACTGTAAATTTACTGGCACTGTTTGGTTATGCAGATTTCAGGCCTTTCTCTGCCTGCATAGATGTTTTAGGGATAATTGTTTGCACTTTCTAACGAAATTTATTCATTTAAAGCACACGAATTCGAATACAGTAGCCCATTAAAAAGGCCACACTAATGAAGTGATAATGTGTTTAAGAAATATAGGATTGAAGGGTTAAACAATTAGTAAACTGACAGATAAGAATAGTATATGATAGTAGACACACTTCAGTTAATAATATACCCGAAAAGACTTCTTTCAGGGAGTTCACGCCTTGATGAAGCATAAGGTAGAAAACTGCATCAGGATCATCTCTGGGTTCTATGCCAACCCATATCTGTTAACATCTTAAACCACTGAGTTGCACAATCTCTAAGAATACAACTAAAGAGTCATGACGAACTGACAGATAATGACCATATACAGCTATCTTTCCTATCACGGCATCATGTAAACTGACCACCCTGTTTGCTTCCTTCACCCAGTTCCTATATTCTATAATTAGTTGACGTTATAGAAACGATAGAGATTACATTCGTACGAATGGTCATGCTATTCAAATGGAATTTGGATTAATTAGCATTATTCAATAGGTTGTCATTTAGTATTCTTTTCTGCACGTTGAATGAGTCAATAACCGTACTTAATCCAGATAAAACATTATAATACTTTTTTTAATAGTAAGCTATGATTGGTTAAAACCTCATCCATTTTGAAATTTACTTAGTATTGTTCGAATCTTCCCATTGATGTTTTTAGGACTGAGACTGGTCAGTCTTTAATTGGCATATATGCATACTGTGCGTATTGCCTCGATATAGCCTAAATTCACAAGCATAGTAAGCAAAGATGGATAGTGGCTAGCAGTGGAATCCAATTTGACGTGCGTTTCGTCCTATTTGGGACTCGTCAGCTGGATTTAACAGCATCTCAGAGTTGATGTTCACTCTGGGACTCGAACCCAGTACCTTTCGCTTCAAACGCCATCGCGTTCTCCACTGGCCACTGAGTCATAATAGCCATTTGCTTTTGTGATGGAGCGATGTTGAAATTTACTTAGTATTGTTTGTTTGGATCTTCTCATTGATGTTTTTAGGACTGCAACCGGTCAGCCCATTTTGATTCATAATAATAGCGGTTTTTTTCTTTTTTTCGAGAATCAAATATTTTGAACATTATCTATTCAGAAATATTTTTTTGCCTTTTTTTAGACAGTAGAAGATTTGCGTATAAAAGTATTAATGATCTAAAGTTTTTATTCATTAAAAAGATATTTCGTTTTACTAACACGTATGTTTGCTTTGTATTTTGCGAGTGAGGTTTATATTTATTTTTTATTTTTTGCATGGCACCATTGGTTTTTCATGGCAATTTCACATCAGAAGAGGTTTTGTGGGGATTTCAGTATTTTTCATAGTTGAAATCATTAGTCAATTGAAGTTAGACCATCATGGAAAACCTGGAAGCATTGT